CAATCATACATATATTAATCTTAATATAAATAATTTAGTAACTTTATAAATATATATATTAAATATAAATAGTACTCTAATTTAATTACCATATCGATTTTAATCTTAATAATTTGATATATAAAAATTCAATTTAAATATCATTTTAATTTAATAATAATGCACATCTCAATCTCAATATCAATCTCTTAAATTGAGCTAATTTGAAATAAATAACAAATTTGCAACTATAAAATTCAATGTAAATATTACTCTATTTCAAGATATTTAAACATTAATCTCAATCTTAATTTCAAATTTAATAATCTAAAATCCATAACCTTGTATATAAAAAATTACTAAAAAAAAACTATTCAAGTAAGTAATTAACGTACGAATTTCAATCTCAAAAACTTGAAAAAAATAATAGTAATTTACTGATAATTTATACAATAATAATAATAATCTACACTTATTTACAAATAAAACAATAAAATTTTGTATAAAAAAATCACAAAAATATCAATTACCTTTGTCAATAGAGACGGTAATGCTGTGGAGGCAATGAAGGCAGTAAAAGCTGGATTTTGGCATACCGAAAATGAAATTAAAGTTTTGTAAACTAAAATCCAACGAAAAAATAAAGAAAGAAACAAAAAAAAAATGAAAAAAAAAAAAAAAAAAAGTGCTGCAACTTACAAAAGGCAGGATGGGGGCGCATGAAGGCTTAGAGGTGATGGATCTTGCACCAAAACGCACGGATCTACAAAGAAATCAGCAAATGCCCGAATGTAAATCAAAGGAAAAAAAAAATTAGCACCAGATCTGTGCAGAGAGGGGCCAACTCACCGGCTTAGAGGTGATCACACAGCAGGGGGCTCGATGGCAAGAAGCCAGAATCCAACGGCAACGGCAAGAACAAGGTTGGAAAAAAAGAACCAGATCTACCGCAGAGGAAGAAGAAGAAATGGGGGAAAGAAGGGGGGACAGGGGGTTAATGTCGAGTATATTCGACAGCATTGCTGTCGAATATACAGGGGAAACGACAACGTTTCTCATATATTCGACAGCAATGCTGTCCAATATATCAAAAACATAATCGACAGCCTGTTGGCTGTTGATTATATATATTCGACAGCCAATTGGCTGTCAAATAAAACCATGTATTCGACAGAATAATTGTCGAATAAATTTTCTGTCGATTATGAGCCAAAAAATCGGTTATCATCGACAATCAACTTTATTCGACAGTAATGTTGTCGAATATAGCCTTTTATTCGATAGCTACTTGGTTGTTGAATATGTTGTTGTCGTTTTTGCCCAATTTTCCAGTAGTGAACTCACTAATGTTGAGGAACCAAATTTAGCATTTAACCTTAAATTATTAAATAAATAGTAAATTCTTTAAGAGCATGTACAGTTCGAGAGAATGAAATGAGAAAATTTTTTTTATGTGGTTAAAAAAAATTTAACAAAAACAAGAAAAGAAAGGAAATTATTTACTTTATTTTTTTTTAATGTATCATCGCTTTTACACTTTATCATTGGAATAAAGTGAATACAAAATAAAAGAAAAAGAAAACTTTACCCTTTTAATTGAGTTTTCTACCTTAAGACATGGAAAATATATTAGATTGAATTATAAAATAAAAATAATTAAATAAAAAAAATTAATATTAAAAATTTTACTTTTTATTTAACAATATCTACTGTATAGTCTAATACCATTTAATTGCATAACAATTTTTCATTCCGAGTTTAGATGGAATAACTTCCTCCCTGTAACCTTGTTTCCAAATTTTTTTAAGGTTACTTAGGCTCTATTTTAGTATGATTTTTAGTTTTTTATTTCTATTTTTATTTTTTATGTAAGGCTATGTAACATTACGATATCATGGTAATTAAAATATTAATATTTTT